TTTATATATATATATATAAATAAAATGTCAGATGATGATCATGGTAATCCAATAAGCTTTTCAAGTTTCATAAATTATGTTTTGTGAAACTAGGAGGGACTATTATAGTTTCCTTTCCTTTCCTTTCCCTTTCCTCTTTCCTTTTACCTTTACCTTTCCGTCTTTTGGGATTTATTCCTAGTTCACATTATACTATAATGTAGCTCCCTGATGCATTCATATCCAAGTAAGATGACTTCCTGGTTTATGCGGCTGGGTCAACTACAAACAGGCAAATTCTTATCTTTACTTTAACTATTACAACTCCAGCAATCAAAGGACCAGATGAAATTACAAAACATTAAACATAAATACCACAAAACAAATTATTCAGTACGTTTAAAATAAAACAGTACAATTTTAAAACGATACAATATTCCATACCCTTTTTGAATCATACGATTTCAAATGTATTATTTCATAGTCTGTAAATGCTTTCCATGTTTCACTGAACAAATCTCCATATCCATATGTACTCTGAAAAACAAACACAAATGCCAATAAGATTTCCCTTAATATAGTCTAAATTAATATGTCCGTTTTAAACAATAAGATTCTAAAAGAATTCAGTGTAAAAGAGATGAAATATTAAAAGAGATATGGTAAAAATAAATATAAATTTTAGTAGTCTCCAAAGATTAAAAAAGAAAAATACAACTAAAGATATGTGAAGAGAAATATGACATTGGTGCAGACTGTACGATTTGATAACTGAACATTTTCGGTTTCGCATTTTCCATGCTCTTTTTCTTATTTAATAGCCAAAATAATAGTGTACAATAAATATATTCTTTAAAAAGTTCACATAATTTCATATTTAGCCACATTAACCTAAGGGTTTTTCTAATTTTCCACATATGTTTGCAATTATATTTTAATAAATATGATGGTTTTTTACAGACTGGAAATATATTGAAGGTCTGCTCATCAACACAACCAATGCCAACTAAAGATCAGAGTTCAATACAACTTGAAGATACTAAACTGACCTAACAAATATCTTACCATCATATCCCTGAACTGATGTGTTACCAAAGGCCCTTTATAAATAATAGAAATATAGCAATAGCAGTAGACTTATATACCGCTTCATAGGCCTTTCAGGCCTCTCTAAGCGGTTTACAGAATCAGCATATTGCCCCCAACAATCTGGGTCCTCATTTTACCCACCTCGGAAGGATGGAAGGCTGAGTCAACCCTGAGCCGGTGAGATTTGAANCCCTGAGATCAGCAGGACGTATTCTTCCCTGTCACCGTCTCTTCGGGACGGTTTAGGTCCAAAAGGACCGTCCAGAGGCCAAAATATCAACTGTGATCTTGGAGCTCCAAGATCACATGTCGTGTCGTCATGACACCAGCTCCTAACTCTCCTATTTTTAAAAAAGATTTTGTTTATTTGAATTTATATGTCACCCAACTCCAATAGACTGGTATTAGTAATATGGAGAAAAAAATTGTGTAATAAAATTGGCTCTTGCCTTTTTGTTTTTCCTCACTGCTAGCATGTAAATTTGATGTACAAAAGCTGTTTGCCTACAGCAGACATAATTAATTAATATAATACCTAGGTTGTGATTATAGTATGACTACATAAACTTTTAGAGGTAACTGTCAATAACCTTAACACTAACCCACTGGATGAGGGAAAAAGTATATGACAGCCAAAATAAACAGATGGATTTGATGAGTGCACTAAACTAAATGCTGGATTATGAAAGGGAACAAAAGGAATGAAAATCATTTAATTGATGTATGCACTAATATATAAAGTGTGCAGTACACAAGTAGACCTCAACCTATGATTACCATTGAACCCAAAATTTTCATTGTTTAAGCAAAGCAGTTGTTAAGTGAGTTTGCCCCATTTTAGTGACCTTTTCCCCATAGCTGTGAATCATTCCAGTTATTTAGTGAAACATTTGGTCATTAAATAAATCTGGCTTTCCCCCATTGACATTGCCAGAAGCCAGCTGGGAAGGTTGTAAATAGTGATCACATGACCCCCAAGGCAGTGCAATTATGATAAATATCCGCCAGTTGCCAGAATTTTGTTTATGTGACCATAGGATGCTACAATGAATATGAGTGTGAAAACAGATCATAAGAGACTCTTTTCAGTGCTAGTTAACTTTGAATGGTTACTAAATGATTGTAACTCAAGGGCTCCCTGTATTTATGCAATTATGATTGGATGTTTATTAACCTTTCGAAGTTCCAATGGAACACGTGCCCCCCCCCCAAGAATACTTACAACTTGGATTTGAAGGTCCCTTGACCAGGGGCCCCCACAACCACATTTTAAGGATTCAGCAACCAGCCTGTATTTATGTCTGTCTGCAAAATCCCACATTCACATGACCACTTTATTTTTTTGCCAGAAACCAGTGTTTATTTCAAGTTTCCGGGGAAAAAACTGCAGCAATGGAATTGTTTAACAACCATGGTGTTCATTTAACAACCAGTGATATACTTAACAACTATCTCAAAGGTGGTCATAAAATCAGTCCCGCACAACTTAGAACTATAATTCTGGGCGCAATTAAAGTGGTAAATCAAGGACTATCTGTACTTCTAAATATTCAAAATACTTCTTATGTGTTAAGCAATATTAATATAGTAAATGTTCATTTATTAAATGTTAATTACAAAAACTAATATGGTTTTGTTCATCCACAAAATCTTATCTAGTATTTTAAATATTTACAAAATACATACATTAAAATATTGGTACAAAATTATTTTATTTGATTGCATAAATAAACAATTAACAGTCTGCCCTTATAAAGAAGCCTTATCTTAGTCTATTAAGCTCAGGGTTTACTGTAATTATACAATTATAATTATTAAATAAATACTATAGTCCAATATACTTCATAGAGATCACATCATAGTATATAATGAAGTTATTTATTTGGCTTGGGCTTGACATGTTGTGTAAACTCAACCAACAAAAACTCATCTAGATGTAGCCAAACTTGATTTGCCTTGTAAATCCAAGAAATTTAACAACTGGTTTCTATTTCCTAGTATAATATAAAATATGCAAGACAATTACCATTTTTCACTTTTTTAAGGCATGAAATTCAATCAGCCTCCAGGTATTCAAATGTTGACCCTGTATTTCAAACTGACCATTTTAAATTCTAATTCTATCTTTTTGTTTTTTCTCTTCTTAGAGAAGAGTGTTTGCAGGGAGAGAAGTGGAATGGGACAGGAAACCGGTTCCACCACAAATGCGCGAACGACAAAAGCGCGCCTGACTAAACCGCGTTGACAAAACCACGGTGACAAAACCGTGCCGACGAATGAACGCTGAAGCGCGCCGACAACAGCGCGCTGACAGAAGCGCGCTGTAACCTAACCCGAAAAATAACCCTAACCCTAAACCTTACCTTAACTTAAATCACGCTGTTGTCGGCGCGCTTTTGACACTGCGGTTTTAGCGCTGCGGTTTTGTCAGCGCGCTTTTGACGTTCGCGCTTTTGTTGGGTCACGCAGGAAACCAAGCCAACCATCAGCATTTCTGTGTTCTTAATTTAGGCAGAGAAACAGCCATCCATCCATCCCCACTACCTCTATGCCCTTTCTGGTTAAGAAGTGTTATTCAAAATCTGGAAAGGAGTTAGAAATAGAAGGAGAAATTATACAAGATGTGAAATATGAAAAAAAGAAAACAGACTTGAATCTAATGAGCACTTTCATACCTTTCTATCTTTTTTAGGTCCATACACTGCTTCACCCACTGCCTAGAAAGAGGCTGGTTACTTTTCTCCGGTGTCAGATCCAAAGCTAGGGAGCCAAAATTGTGGTTTACTTAATCATCCATTCAGTGAATTAGAGGGATTCGTCCCCAAATCCTATATCATAAATCAAAAAAGCTGAGTTCACAAATTGTACAAAACCAAACCAACCGTATTCTGAACCTTGCCGCAGACTGTTTTTCTCTCAGTGGAACATTTATTTCATCTCCAAGATGGTATTATTCGTTAAACAGAAGCTGTCTGCTTTCTCCCTCAATGTTCCTCAGGTCTACAGCTATCTCTTTTGACTTATTCTAAAGTTCTTTTGAAGCCTTTGCTATATTCTTGCAGTTCCCAAATTCTGGCATAGTTAGTGACCCAAATTTAACCACATATAGCTGAAACCATCTTATATTGTTCTGTTCACCTGAAATGTATCTCACTTTATTTCCCACCCTCCAGTATCAAATTCTAAAATGTAAATTCAGATTATGGCACAAGGAACAATGCACAACAATGCAGAGGAGTAAATCAGCAATAAACCATTCAAAAGTTAGCCCTGCAGAATTAGAGAGGAAGGAGAGAGGTTTCCATAAACTAGAGCCAAGTTTCCAAAGACAACAGAGGAAGGGGACAATGGAAGCCTGAGTATACAAAAGCCCACATATAGATCTTTAGTTATCATTCCTAGGACAGATCCTGATGGGTGAAAAGGGAAGTCTGTAATCCAAGATATTTGGGGCACTAGTTTGGGAGGATTGTGATAATGAAAACGGTGGCGATAACAGTTTCACAGGGCAGATGAGTTTTCTGGGAATATTTAAAAGAGAGCAAGAAAAAACACCACGAAAATTTGTCCAGGAAGGCATTTTCTGGTAACAGAAGGCATAAAAATCTCAATCCCTGAAATCAGCCATGCTGTTTAGGGAAACGATTGACCTAGGAGAGAGATATCTTATCTGGACCTTAAGATGAATGGGATTTCCTACCAGCCTCATCTTAGAAAGGATAAGAGCCCAATAAGAGAGTCCTTGTTCTCTTCCACGAGGCTGGCATGGAGCGAAAGCCCCCCCTCCCCCGCTGCAAATGCCCGAAGGGACGGGTGGGACTCCCAGAAGAAGAGCCCCCGCAGATGAAAGGCGGGAAGATTCCAAGCGCCCGTCCCGGGAGTGTCACACTTACATCGGGACGCGCCAAAACTCTCCAATCCCGATCGCGGATGGGAAAAGTGCACAGCGCGAGCGAAGGGACCAGAGAGCTTCTCCGACCGCGGCCCGGACCTTCCTTCCTCCGCGAGGAAAGAAGGCAGGCAGGCCGGCAGACAGGCAGGGAGCCCCGATGGCAGCTGGGGAAGGAGGAGCCAGCGTGGGGTGGCTCGGCCCTCCGGAAACTAAGCCGCGCTGCTGGGGAGACTGAGGAGGGCTGAGGCTTCTCCGCCGGCCTTGCGTCCCCGGGGGGATTGCGAGGGCAAGAGTGCCGCGCCGGGTAGTCCGAGGCTTTTTTAGCCGGGAGGATCGGCATCCACGCAGGCTGTGGGTCTCTCACGGGGACCTCTCCTTGGAAACGGTCACAACTCTCTGGGATGTGAACGGAGGCGCTTTCCCACGTTCACGTGATCTCGGAGGATGCCCATGCCTTGAGAATCTTAAAGCAGCATGTCTCGAACTTTAATATTCTTGAAGACCAACTCTCCCNAAGAAACACTGCTCTAGATGAAAGGATTCCATAATCACTTGATTAGACATTGTCCCTTCTTGGGCTGTGGATATACGACTTCTCAGTAGCTGAGATAAGCACGCACGCGCGCGCACACACACACACACACACACACACACACGATATTTGAAACACACAAACACAAACGTTTTAGAAAGTTAGTGAAGATTTGGTTATTCCACCAAGACTCAAGAAGCAAGGTTCTTATACTATCCCATTGGAGGATAAATTCATTTTATATTTTGAATATTAACTCCCAGATTTCATATAGCTTTTTTTTAAATGAATGCTTTCAGTTTTAAAATCTGATTAGCTCTTTTTCATCCCAAATTAGAAATCTGGGGAATTTTATACCATTCAATTGATATATTGAAATAAAAATAATGAGGCCTACCGCATTCTTAGGCTTGCAATGAGTCTTCACATCTTTCACCTTTTCTTTAACGTAACCAAAATCAGCTTGCTTCCAGAAAATATCCTGGGCCTGCTCAATGGTATTAGCCCTGGCATACAAAACAAACAAAAGGAATCTCTTTGAGAAAAGTGAACTACAGCAAAACTTCAGGCTACAGACTGCTAGGTTCTACTGCATAATCTTATAAACCAGGGGTGTCAAACTCAAGGCCCAGGGCCCAGATCCGGCCCATGGGGTACTTAGATCTGGCCCACAGGGCCACCCTGAAAACAGTGGATTGACCCATACTGCTTCTGCCAGCGAAAACAGAGCTCAGGAGGGCCACATGCAGTCCTCCCGAGCTCCATTTTCACTGGCAGAGGGTTGCAAGAGGCCATGGCAGTCAAAAATGGAGCTCGGGAGCCCATTTTCCCTGGCAGAGCGCTCAGGCCATCACAGGCGCCCCCAACATGAGTGATGTTGAGCTGGCTACACCCACCCTGGCAAGGTCAAACACAACCCTCAATGAAATTGAGTTTGACATCCCTGTTATAAACAATGTCCTAAATTAGTAAAGCAATAAAAAGGACATTGTGTTCAACTGTTCTCCCTCTACACAGAAAAAAATAACACTTATGGATACTTCGATTAAAGCAAAAAAGTAAACAAACCCTTAAGAAAAGGATAACATCACGGTGGCTACCTGCACACAAACATGTGGCAATTAATATATAGTTTCTGTATGTTTTTTTTTCTTTTGTGGTGTTTCTTGACTTACAACCTCAGGATTCTAGATTGATATTACAGAAGTTCAAGTTTGCTCAGCTGCCAAATCAAGACAATGACGGCCAGTTATTTGACTGATTATGTGACATCAAGTTGTTTTTGACTCCAAGCAACCACACAGATAGATCTTCTCTATGACGATCTATCCCTAATTTGACCTTTCTAGTCTTATGATGTGACTTATCACCAAATAGATTAGCAGAGTTGGAAGGGACCTTGTAGGTAATGTAGTAAAAAACCCCACCCAAGCAGGAGACCCTGCTATACCATTTCTGACAGCCCTTGAAAGTATCCAGTGATGAAGCTCCCACAACTCAAGCTGTTCCACTAGTTGATTGCTCTCACTGTCATAAAATCTCCTTATTTCTAGGTTGAATCTCTCCTTGTTTAGTGTCCATCCATTATTCCTTGTCTGGCCTTCAGGTGCTTTGGAAAATAGCTTGACCTCTTCCTCTCTGTGGCAGCGTCTCAAATATTGGAACACTGCTACCATGTCTCTCCAGTGTAACTCAGTCTGTCCACCCTGCTGCTGGTCATCATCTTCTCTTTTCTTCCCTCTTTCCCAATATTAGAGTCTTTTCTGGCCAACATTTTTTACTAGAGATTAAATGGTATGGATTTCAGATTGCTAAATTATTCTATTTTATAAATTAGACCCTTAATATACAATAGTTGCTTTACCTCTCTAATATATATTTGTAGAACAAATCAGAAGGTTTAAAAGCTACCCCCAAACAATGACTATCCTTCTCACATTTTGGAATGCGTATGTGTATCACTGAATATTAAAAATAAATAAACATGAGAATGTTTAGTATTGGAGTTGACCTAAGGGAAGCAGTAAATGGGCAATTTAAATAGAATGATTTTTGTTGAAAAGTATGAAGATTTTTTTAGCTACAGATCATGGGAATGTATCTAACATTATCCAAGAGCAAAAATATTCGCCTTTGCTGTTTTCCTTCCCGTTCTGGAACAGATCCAAGGGAAATACAAAAGGTTAAAAAATAGAGAAAGGTGGCAGATACAATTTCTTCCAACTCTCATCCAGAGTGGATTACAATTCTCATAAAACCAGAAACATATTGGGCTATGTTAAGGAATATTGTTAAAAGGAAAATGATCCAAGAACAAAGAATCCCATTTCCATCTGAAATATTTCTTTTTGTTCTGAACTGCGATGAATCTCCTCAATTCCATTCATGATGTCCCAGTGAGGAAAGAGAGAATTCAGTTGTTTATAGAAGTAAATCATCTGAATCTATTTGAGGTGGTCTGAATAGAAGATTTTCTCCTTCAGGATTGGAAGATCCTGAAATGCCTCAGACTTCTTTAGAGGTAAAGGATTTACTTCTAGAAACTACCAAATACATAATCTATAGAGCTGTGATCCCACATTGGTGAATTTTGTGTATGTGTATGCCTAGTGCCATGCCCATGAGATGGCCTGACTTTCAGTCTTCACTTGTTAGAACACTGCAGAGCACTTATAAAGTTCTTAACATTCTCTATGGGGACAATAAACTAGAATAACAGAGTAGGAAGGGACCTTGAAGGTCTTCTAGTCCAACCCCCTGCTTAGCCAGGAAACCCTTCCACTACTTCACTCAAGTGGTTGTCCAACAACTTCTTAAAAACTTCCAGTTTTGGAGCATTCACAACTTCTGGAGGCAAGTTGTTCCACTGATTACCATATTGTTCGGAGTACAAGATGCACCGGAGTATAAGATGCACCAAGATTTTGAAGAGGCAATTTTTTTAAAAAAAAGTTATTGCACTCTGCAGACCTCCCAAAAACGGCCCATTTTTTTTAAAGGGCATGAATAGCCTTTAGGTGGCTTGTAGAGTGCTCCTGGGGGTGGGGGTGGGGCCAAAAACGAGCAAAAAATGGCCCGTTTTTCACTCATTTCTGCCCTCCCCATCCCCAAGCAATCTGAAAGTCTCCTAAAGGCTATTCACAGTCATTTTGGTGAAGGGGCGGGGTTTCAGGAAGCAAACAATGCTGTAGTCAGTGTATAAGACACACCTAGGTTTTCATCCTCTTTTTTNCCACCTTGGCTCATAATGAGTTAGCAATTTATATTTGTTCAGAAACATGCTAAAAGCATGTTTTTAAATATAAAATTGCATTTCTGTTTCATTTCACTTACATAGAACTTTTAATGTTTTCTTTAAAAAGCTAAAACTTTTGAAACATTTGAGTAAAAAAATGTATACGAAGAATCTCAGTCATTCATAGTTGTCCCAAAGGTGCTTTTTCACGAGGAAACTGGATTTTCTTGGATGAGAAGCGAAACATCTTCAAAGAAAAACAAGAAAGTCCAGTTGTCTCCTGAAAAAAAAGCACCTTTGGGACATTTGAGTAGAAAGTTGTATATGTTAAAATTTACTTAATAAAAAGTAAGTTCAGTTTTACTAAATACATTTTTTAATAAGGGTTGTAAACCTGCAACAGCTAAATCAATGCACCGCACATAAAGAGAATGCATAAACTTCTTCAGCTTTATACAGTGAGATAAAACAGTACACTGCTGCCATCATCTGGCAATACTGGGAATTAAACATACTATAACAAATTTTTAGCTTAGGACAAATTCACATTACAGTACTAGATGTATTAAAAATACACACAGAGTGCTTTTTTCCAAATAGGAGACAGTCAAATGAGAAATCCAGCTGAAGAACTACATGTTAGACAGGCAGGTGATCCTCAATTTACAACCAGTCACTTAGTGGCCCTGCAAAATTATTATGGATTCCCCAAAAGCTACTTATAACACATTTTCAAAGTTACGACAGCCACACATATAACCCCATGGTCATGTAATCACATTTTGGGTGCTTAGCAACCAACTCAACTTTATGGCTATTTGCAACACCATGCAATCACATGACTGCAACTGGTAATTTTTTTTTTTTTTTGGCTGCTTACTGGAATTTATTTCTGGTTTCTAGCAAAAAATAAATAAAACACCCATTGGGAAAAATTGGTTTATTTAACCATAGCATTTGCTTAAAACCACCACAAAAATTGTCAAATGATGCCTCAATTTACAATCACGAGCGCTTTTAACCATAATTCTGGATGTGGGGTGATTTGCTGAAATACAGACTCATAGACCAAGGAAAAAAGGAAGTTAAGCATTAAGAGTAAAATTACAAATACTTAACAAAAAAGCCAAATCTTATTCCTTGAGCAAAGCCTTAACCGAAATATCCCTCATTTAACTATACTAACTGTTTGAGGTAGTTTATATCAGTCTACAGCTAATTAACAATCCTCCCACTACAGCATAACTACAATTCATCCAAAACCTGGAACTATTTACGTTAGACAAAAATAAGATCTCAAATAAAGTTATGCCCTAACCTAATCCTAACTATTCTTGTGCTCCTACTTACAGTATCCCACATTACAATGTTGATATCAGTGCTGAAGGTGTTGGTAACATGCTGAGTGATGTAAAGATTCACAAAGTCACAAAAATGATGGTACATGTTGACACCTAAAAGAAGGAAGAAAAATTAATCTTGTAGTAAACACAACCAGAACTACATAGGCAGTCATTGACAACTAAGGCTTAGGATTTTATGCAAAAACCTAGGTGCACCTATGCTAAAATACAGGTTCAAAATTACGAGTTATTTAATTAATCCATGAAGTTGCCATTAAAAACACATTTAAGAAGCTGAACAAGGACTAGCTCATTATTATTGCCAGCATATGGGCTTTAAATGAAATCCAGTCATAGGAAGCTACTAATTTGATCAGAGCAGTAATCTTGAAGGATTTTATATTCTTCATAAAAAAGGAATAACGCCATCTTCAAAATGCTGCTTGCCTTGCACTGTTTTTATTTCCTAGTAAATCACAAACTTCTGGATAGTATTTTGATAGAGAGGAATGTGCAGAGAAGGGAATGCATGTGGATACATAGACACAGCCAATATTTTGTATTTTAAGAAAGCCTTTATGAGTTCAGTAAAAAAAAATCAAGTTAAGATAGTTTGCTCAGCTCAGCTTATTTCACCGAACTCACAGCTATACAGGTAGCTCTCAACTTACAGCCATTCATTTAGTGACTGTTTGAAGTTGCAATAGCACTGAAAAAGTGACTTGTGACCAACAATCATTTCCTAATTCACACAAACAAATTATGTTTGGTCATGCAATCAAAATTTGAGCATCTTGCAACCGGCATACATTTATGACTGTTTCACTGTCCTGGGGTCATGTAATCATAATTTCTAACCTTCCCAGCTGCTTCCAACAAGCAAAGTCAATGGGGGAAACCAGACTCACTCAACAACTGCATGATACACTTAACAACTACAGTGATTTGCCAGTGTGGCAAAAATGGTTTGAAATGGGGCCGAATTTGCTTAACAACTGCAATGGAAATGTCATAGGCTTTGTTAGTTTGCCCTCTCTATTACTAATTCACATTATGTGTGAATCAGGTCATTAAGGCATGTTCATATCAATGTGAGCATAACTACAATAAGAATTGGCAGTTATATAAAAACAATACTTTAAAGCAGGGGTCTCCAACCTTGGCAACTTTAAGCCTGGCGGACTTTAACTTCCAGAGTTACACAACCAGCACGTTAGCTGGGAAACTCCGGGACTTGACATCCTCACACCAGGGTTAAGAAACACTAACTTCAGACATTAATCAGAGTATAGTTAGTCCTATGCTTACAACCACAATTGAACCTGGAGCTTTAGACAATAAGTCATTGTGGTCATAACTTGAGTCACCACATGACTAGACTTCAATTTTACAACTGTTTTCATGATGGCTATTACATAAGTCACTGTGGTTGTTAACCGAATCACATGGACGTAAGTCTGAATGCAGATTATCCAAACAGCATTTCTTGCCAATAAACAGCAAAAGAAGTCGCAAAATGTGAACATGTGACCACGGGATGTTGCAATTGGTCATAAACGCAAGCAAGTTGACAAAATAATGAAACACAATATGACAGCAGAGTGGTACATCAATCATAACTTCAAGGATAGGTCAAAAGTAACTTTTTTCAAGTCCAATGTAAATTTGAATGGTCATTATACAATCAGTTACAGGTCAAGGACTACGGGAAGCGTACCTCCTAGCGTTTACAGAAATAGAGCCTCTCTTATCAGTATAGAGCCGTGATGGAGAACCTATGGCACATGTGCCGGACGTGGCACCCAGAGCCATTTCTCTGGAAACGCAAGCCGTCGCCCATTGCTCTTCCGGGTTCCAGCGCGTTGGCCAGCTTCATATGCGTGGGCGCGCCAGGTGGTTGCTCTTCCAGCTTCCAGCACACACATGCACACACATTCCCTTTTAGGCACTTAAGTTCCCAGCACATGCATGCACACTGGGCAGCTGCTCTTACGGTTTCCGGTGCACTCATGCACACCTACCAGCTGGTCTTCACGTGCGCATGTGCACTGGAAATCAGAAGACCAGGTGGCCAGTGTGCAAGTGTGTGCACTCCTGTTTTGGCACTTGGTGCCAAAAAGGTTCACCAACACTGGTATAGAGAAATGAGGTTACACTTTGGAATTTGAAAACANCCAATTCCTGCAACCGTTCTTCATGTTTTAGTATCCAGTCCCCTAATCATCTTTGTTGCTCTTCTCTGCACTCTTTCTAAAGTCTTAAGAACTTTTTTACAATGTGTTTTTCCTCCAATGTGTTATTTCCCAAGTTCCAACCTCACTTTTCAGACAAAAAACAGCTTTTTTACATGGTTCTGGAAGGCCAAGAGAGAGGGGTTTTAGCAAATGCCAAGGGGAAGGGTATTATAGCTCAATGGGCACCCACTTTGCATATTCCCCCATTGTGAACAATATCCAGGTATTCCTATTGCTTTCCTTTTCTTCTATCCTCAGGAAATAAGGATCCAGTCTAGTACAATGGTATAAAACTCAAGGCCCGGAGGCTGGATCTGGCCCACAGGGTACTTATATTTAGCTTGCAGGGCCACCCTGGAAACATTGAAGGACTGGCCCGCGGTGCCTCTGTCAGAGAAAACAGAGCTCTGGAGGGACACATGTGGGTCCTCCCGATCTCCGTTTTTGTTGGAGGCCGTCGCAGCCAAAAATGGAGCTCAGGAGCCCGTTTTATCTGGCAGAGCACTTGGGCTATCACAGGTACCCCTGATATGAGTGATGTTGAGCTGGCCATTGCCCCCTGCCCCTCCCCCCCGAAGTAAAACACAACCCTGATGCAGCCCTCAATGAAATCAAGTTGACATCCCTGGTCTAGTATCTTCAGTGGCAATGATTCTACCACCAAAGCTAAAAACTGATTGGAATTCATCTAATACGATTCTAAGACTGAAACAAGTCTCCATTGGGTTAGGAAAAGGAATACTTACTTTATAAGGGCAAAAAGGATCCTGCCTGCAAGCAGTGGCAATGCCTGGATTATTGTGTAAAAAATATGGGACGTGTTCTTCTGGCAACATGATGCTTTCATAAGGATACCTTGGCTCTTGCAAAATGTTGCTGCCATTGTGAAGATGTTCATCTGGTCCCGTGGCCACTATTTTTGGAAATAGAGCTCCCAACGTAAGCAGTATTAACATGGCAATGAGAAAAACCTAAAGTAAACACACCAAAGATTTATGGGCTGTAGAATAACAATTCACCAGTCCTTAAACATTTATTTTTAAACTCGTGCAGTTATATTCCCTGACAGCAGAAAAATTCTTGACACTGGCATACTATTAATATTATAGATTCTAAAGTAATGAGTAAGAGAAAGCTGTCATCCCCAAGAGATTCTTGGGAATCAGACAGGAGAAACTATGTAGGTTTCCCAAGAGTTCTATTTTCTCTGCTTCTAAAAAAGAATGGAAAGCAAAATAAACATAGTGCAGAAACATCTGATAAGACACTGTATTAAATTTCATAAAATGACTATCTTGTTTCTCTGAAAATAGGGCTGCACATGTGCATTAAAAAAAACTTTTACATTTAGCCTTATAGTTAAGGAAAGGCGTCAAACTCTATTGCAACAAGTTTCTTTAAGACATGAGGAGGGATCAGATCTGATACAAATTTCACACAAAACAATATCTGGAATTATTTTCATGAANTGGGGGTGGGGGTGGGGCCAAAAACGAGCAAAAAATGGCCCGTTTTTCACTCATTTCTGCCCTCCCCATCCCCAAGCAATCTGAAAGTCTCCTAAAGGCTATTCACAGTCATTTTGGTGAAGGGGCGGGGTTTCAGGAAGCAAACAATGCTGTAGTCAGTGTATAAGACACACCTAGGTTTTCATCCTCTTTTTTGAGGGAAAAAAGTGCATCTTATACTCTGAAAAATATGGTAATTGTTCTGTCAGAAAATTTCTCCTTAGTTCAAGGCTGCTTCTCTCCTTGAATAATTTCCTTCCATTGCTTCTTGTCCTGCCCTCAGGTGCTTAGGAGAATAGTTTGACTCCCTCTTCTTTATGGCAGCCCCTGAGATATCGGAACATTGCTATCAATTCTCCCTCCGCAATTTAATTTTCTACAGGTTTCAAGCAAAATAAGATCCTTCTCTAACTTAACAAGTGGAAGATACTAGCTTGCATGCATGTTCGTGGGCATACTGCTGCCCCAAGCACAATCCTAATTCTGCCACTGATTTACATGGACTGGTCCCACTTCCTGGATTTGTTTGGACTGGCCTCACTTCCCTTCATGGGAACTTTTAAAAACAATTTGTTCATGTGGCTGAGGAAATGATCTATTCATAAAATGAAGCTTCCTCTGTCTTTTTATATCCAAGAGTTTTTCTGAAGAACAGAAATGATGCAATAAACAAACCAAAAAAGGGACTGAGATAAAATGGCCCAGTTCTACTTTCCTTGCCATTATCCTGTCTGTCCTTTTTATCAACACCATTTTAATGGTTTCTAGTCTTCTATAGTCATATTCATTTCTTCATTACCCATTTCTTGGCAGCAAAGTGATAAGTTTTCATTCCCAGCTACAGGTAGTCCTCGACTTACAGCCGTTCAAAGTTACAACAGCACTGAAAAAAAGGGACTTATGACCATTTTTCCACACTTATGACTGTCAAAACATCTCCATGGTTACAAAATTTGGATGCTTGGCCATCGGCATGTATTTATGATTGGTCCAAGGATCATGTGATCACCTTTTGCAACCTTGATCAGGTCAGCTTCAGGATTGACACGCTTCTGAGAAGCAAAATCAATGGGGAAGCCAGATTCACTTAACCACTGTGTTACTAATTTAATAACTGCAGGGATTTGCTTAACAACTGCGTTCGCAAAACTCTCCGTCTCACTTAGCAACTGAAATTTTCAACGGTGGTTGTAAGTCGAGGATCATCTGTAATTCAGGTTTTCTGGCCTGAATATTTCAATACACTGGTGGAAAGGGGAGAGTGTTTTCCGGGAGTCTTTCCCCAACTACTTGTGCTTTTAAAAAGTTTGTTGTTCCATGAACATTCTGCTAGCTTCATTTTTCTGTATAAAAGTTTTGCAAATACACACAAACAGTCATCCAACAATCTTTCAAATCCAATTAATTTAAGATTCCATGCTGCTAAACCTCTGCAGTATCCTTGCAGATGGAGATCTTCACATTACAAATCTTAGCCAAAGTGGAACTTTCTAATTCAAATGTTTTTTTTTTCAAAAAATCAAGAATCTCATTTTTTTTTTTTAAAAAGTGAGAGAAGTTTCTAAAGCATCCATATCAATATAGGGCATCCTGTGCAGACATTATGTGAATGCACAAGCACCCAATAGTAGCCATTTTGCAATACTCGTGTTAGGTGTTCAGGTGTTGAGTAGGTATATAATATCTAAGCAGTGAATTCCATATGAAATTTTATTTCATCCATTTTGCTTCACACTTACCATCCAATTTCAGCATAATCACAAGTTGGATATCCAAACCTGTTTTCTGGCTTGCAGGATTTCTCATAACCCCAACAAGCTTTCAATTTCTTCAAATGTTTCTGTCAATACAGAATTGCCATTAAAATGATGCAATCAAAGTTAACTTATTCAATCGTGCAATGAAGATGGTCGATTTCGGCTTTTGAACAATGTGATTAAACATTTTAAAAAACCTCGGGGGGGGGTTCAAAACAAAAATAAAAAATCAGAACTGCATATGTTTTATATTCATTGCTTGCAAAACACTACGAATGTATCATATTCTAAATTTATACCCAGCAGACTACAAAGAAAAGAAACATCACTCTAATACAGCCTTTCAAACTATCTTATAAATCCATTCTAACTGGAAATACTGGATGTTGTAATCTGAAGGTCAGGGAAGTGCGTTCTAACACATAAGTAAATAAACAGACATAACAGAGTAAACATATTACTCAGTGTCACCAGCCATGCATTATACACCATTATGTTATATCAACATATAAGATGGCCATTCATTTTACAAAATAAAATTCTGGCAGGTTTGCAATAGCAATAAAACAAAACACAACAAAACAAAGAAAAAAGCAAAAAATTGGTAACTCCAACCTCTTATAATACAATACAATATAACCCTATACTGTTTCAGACAAATGGCTATCCAACATCTGTTGGGGCTTTTACAACTTCTGGAGGCAAGTTGTTCCACTGACTAATTGTTCTAACTATCAGGAAATTTCTCCTCATTTCTAAGTTGCTTCTGTCCTTGAATAATTTTCTTCCATTGCTTCTTGTTCTATCCTCAGGTACTTTAGATCAGTGTTTTTCAACCTTTTTTGTGCAAAGGCACACTTTTTTCATGAAAAAAATCACGAGGCACACCACCATTAGAAAATGTTAAAAAAATTTATCTCTGTGCCTATATTGACTATATATAAAGTAATTTTCCCACGGCACACACACACACACACACACACACACACACAC